TGTTGAATTTTGTCAAATGATTCTCAGCATCTAGTGAGATGATCATGTGATTTTTTTAGTTTGAGTTTGTTTATACAGTGGATTATGTTGATGGATTTCTGAATATTGAACCATCCCTGCATTCCTGGCATAAAGTCTACTTGATCATGATGAATGATTATTTTGATGTATTTTTGGATTCGGTTTTGGAGAATTTTATTGAGTATTTTTGCATCAATATTCATAAGGTAGATTGGTCTGAAGATTTCTTTCTTTCTTGGGTCTTTCTGTGGTTTTCGGTATGAATGTAATTCTGGCTTCATAGAACAAACTGGGTAGTGTTCCTTCTGTGTCTATTTTGTGGAATAGTTTGAAGAGAATTGGTATTAGGTCCTCTTTGACAGTCTGATATAATTCAGCGCTAAAACCATCCTGGGCTTTTTCTGGTGAGGAGACTTTGAATGAATGCTGATATTTCTTTAGGGATTTTGGGACTGTTTAGATGGTTTATTTAATCTTGATTTAACTTTGATACCTGGTATCTGTCTAGAAAATTGTCCATTTCATCCAGATTTTCCAGTTTTGTTGAATATAGGCTTTTGTAGTACGATCTGAATGTTTTTTGAATTTCCTAGATTTCTGTTGTTGTCTCTCTTTTCAGTTCTGATTTTATTAATTTAGATGCTATCTCTGTGCCCTCTAGTTAGTCTGGCTAAGGGTTTATTTATCTTGATTTTCTCAAAGAACCACTTCCTGGTTTTGTTGATTCTTAATATAATTCTTTTCCTTTCTACTTGGTTGATTTTAGCCCTGAGTTTGATTATTTCCTCATGTCAACTCCTCTTGGGTATATTTGCTTCTTTTTGTTCTAGAGCTTTCAGGTGTGCTGTCAAGTTGTTAGGGTTTGTTCTCTCCACTTTCTTTTTGTAGACACTTAGAAATATGAGTTTTCCTCTTAGCACTGCTTTCATTGTGTCCCATAAGTTTTGGTATGATGTGCCTTCATTTTCATTAAATTCTAAAAAGACTTTAACTTTTTTGTTTATTCCTTGACCAAGTTATCATCGAGTAGAGAATTGTTAAGTTTCTAGTGCATGTGGGCTTTATTTTGTTGTTGTTATTGAAGACCAGCCTTAGTTCGTGGTGATCTGATAGGATGCATGGAAATATTTAAATCGTCCTGTATCTGTCGAGGCCTCTTTTATGACTCATTATATGGTCTATTTTGGAGATGGTACCATGAGGTGCTGAGAAGAATGTATATTCTTATGTTTTAGGATGAAATGTTCTGTAGATATCTGTTAAAACCATTTGGTTCATAACTTTTCTTAGTTTCACTGTGTCTCTATTTAGTTTCTATTTCCATGATCTGTCTATTGCTAAGAGTGAGGTGTTGAAGTCTCCCACTATTATTCTGTGAAGTGCAATGTGTGCTTTGAGCTTTAGTAAGGTTTCTTTTATGAATGTATGTGCCCTTCCACTTGAAGCATAGATACTCAGAATTGAGAGTTCTTCTTGGTAGATTTTTCCTTTAATGAGTATAAAGTGTCCTTCCTTATCATTTTTGATAACTTTTGGTTGATAGTTGATTTTATTCGATATTAGAATGGTTACTCCAGCTTGTTTCTTGGGACCATTTGCTTGAAAAATTGTTTTCAAGCCTTTTACTCTGAGGTAGTGCCTCTCTTTGTCACTGAGGTGTGTTTTCTGTATGCAGCAAAATGCTAGGTCCTGTTTATGTATCCAGTCTGTTAGTCTATGTCTTTTTATTGGGGAATTGAGACCATTGATGTTAAGAGATATAAAGGAGAAGTGATTGTTCCTTCCTGTTATTTTTGTTATTAGAGGTGGAATTATGTTTGTGTGGCTAACTTCTTTTGGTTTTGCTGGAAGAAGATTACTTTCTTGCCTTATCTAGGGTGTAGTTTCCCTCCTTGTGTTGGAGTTCTCTATTAACCTTTGTAGGGCTGGATTTGTGGAAAGATATTGTGTAAATTTGGTTTTGTCATGGAATATCTTGGTTTCTCCATCTATGGTAATTGAAAGTTTTTCTGGGTATCATAGCCTGGGCTGGCATCTGTGTACTCTTAGGGTCTGTATGACATCTATCCAGGATCTTCTTGCTTTTATAGTCTCTGGTGAGAAGTCTGGTATAATTCTTACAGGTATTCCTTCATGTTACTTGACCTTTTTCCCTTACTGCTTTTAATATTCGTTCTTTGTTTTGTGCATTTGATGTTTTGATTATTATGTGACAGGCGGAATTCCCTTTCTGGTCTAGTCTATTTGGAGTTCTGTAGGCTTCTTGTATGTTCATGGACATCTCTTTCTTTAGGTTAGGGAAGTTTTCTTCTATAATTTTGTTGAAGATATTTACTGGCCCTTTAAGTTGGGAATCTTCACTCTCCTCTATACCTATTATCCTTAGGTTTGGTCTTCTCATTGTGTCCTGGATTTCCTGGATGTTTTGGGTTAAGAACTTTTTGCATTTTGCGTTTTCTTTGACAGTTGTGTCAATATTTTCTATAGTATCTTCTGCACCTGAGATTCTTCTATCTCTTGTATTCTGTTGGTGATGCTACATCTATGACTTCTGACTTCTTTCCTAGGTTTTCTATCTCCAGAGTAGTCTTCCTTTGTGATTTCTTTATTGTTTCTACTTCCATTTTCAGATCCTTGATGGTTTTGTTCAATTCCTTCACTTGTTTGGTTGTGTTTTCTTGTAATTATTTAAGGGATTTTTGTGTTTCCTCTTTAAGGGCTTCTACCTGTTTACTTGTGTTTTCCTGTATTTCTTTATGGGAATTACTTATGTCCATCTTAAAGTCTGCTATCACCATAATGAGAAGTGATTTTAAATCTGAATTTTGCTTTTCCAGTGTGATGGGGTATCCAGGACTTGCTGTGGTGGGAGAACTGGGTTCTGATGATACCAGGTAACCTTGGTTTCTATTGCTTACGTTCTTGTGTTTGCTTTTTTGACATCTGGTTAACTCTAGTGCTACCTGGACTCACTGTCTGACTGGAGCCTGTCTTTCCTGTTATCATGTTTGTGTTAGAACTCCTGAGAGTCCAGATGTCTCTGTGATCCTGTGATCCTGAGATCCTGGGTGTGTTGGAGCTCCTGGGAGTCCTGTTTCCTTTGGGTGTTGTGGGATTGGTTCCAGAGGCAGGTAGTGCTCAAGGTCTGCTCAGAGCACCATCTCGGATCGGAAGGAATCTGTGCCAATGAGTCTTGGTAGGGTGTCTTCAGGGGAGCAGACCAGCTAGAAGGCAACTGCTCTGGGTGCAGCTGATCCTCTGGGGTGGGTCAGAATATGGTGTCTTCATGGGAGCAGATCATCTAGGGGTCTGCCCCAGCAGAAAGAACCATGCAGAGGGGGCAGAAAGGGAGTGGTATTCAGGAGGGTGGATTTTGTGGGTGATGGATCCCTAGTTCACTGCTGGCCTCCCAGGTGCAGCTTTGGGACTTCAGGTTGTTGGGGAGGGTTCTTACCAACTGCTCTGAGTGAGGCAGATCCTCTGGGAAGGGTCAGAAAATGGTGTCTTCATGGGAGCAGATCAGCTAGAAGTCTGCCCCAGCAGGAAGGACCAGGTGGAAGAGTGTTTATTAATGTTCTAATTATGAGGGATAGAGTCTTGTTTTGGGCTGTGATTAGTGTGGAGTTCCCATTGTAGACCAGGCTGGTGTTGAACTTAAGAGGATTCTCTTGATTCCACTTTGCAAATGCTGGGATTGTAGACATGAGCTGCCATGCCTAGCCTACATATCACATCCTAAGAACAAAAACTGAGAAAGTTACATTAAAGCAATGATTTCAATTAGCAGAGCACTTAAGGATGAGTGAGCAGTGATTCTGTGGGTTACTATAATAAAATCTAGCCAAAGCCCAGAATCATTTTTAAACTTCTGTTTAGTTCTTTACAGTTTTTATACAATGTGATCATATTCACCTGCCCACCCATCCCCACCAACTTCCCAGAATCACTTGCTTTTCCCTACCCACTCAATTTGATATTCATTTTTTGTCCCTGAAATCCATCAAGAACAATGCACGCATAGCATGTATATGCACCACGTGCATGCAGTGTCCTTAGAGTTCAGAAGACAGCATTGGACCCCCTGAAATTGGAGTTACTGATAGTTGTGAGCCACTGAATTAGGGTCCTCTGTAAGAGCAAGTGATCCTAGCTGCTGTGACATCTTTCAAAAAATCTTTGGTTAGATTTTTTTTTTTTTTGAGAAATGCTCAACTTGTTTTACTCCCTTCAACACATACTAAGAAGGTAGTTTATGCAAAAACATAATCCTTGAAAATTCTACACAAAATACCTATTAAGTTTTCACATTTTTTAAATCTTATAAATTATATTAAAAGAACCAAGATGATTTTAATACGTGTTTTATTTTTGCTGATATGCTAGTCCATGTTGACAGCCAGATCTCTGGAGGCAAGATGACAATTTGTCCAAATCATCCTGGTTTTTACTATGGCTGTTTTAAGCATCTACGTTGAAAACATTGAATGATGAGTTTTAAAACTATTTATACAACCAGTGTCCCCTGTATGTTTTATGTCTAGCTCTCTAGCATATTTCTGTTTGTATATTTAGAATATATATAATAAATAGTATTGTTATATATTGGATATTGTAATACATAATATATTACATATAAATACTTCTATATGATTATTTATTAATATATTATATAACACCTATGATATATTAATCATATAAATATATAAATAAATAACACATTATTTGTATATAACATATAATATAAATCCTAAATATATATTTAAATCAGAGATATTCATTTAACAATATATTATTTAATAATATAAACACAAAATATATATTTCAATGTATATATATACACTAAATCATATATATATGTATATATACATACATATATATATGTATATATGTATGTATATATACATATATATAGTGTATTTAGCTATAAAAACTAAACCCTATGGATAGCATTGAAACTCTTTTTATTTTTTTCTCCACAGCAGAATTTCCTTATTTTGCTTGCCAAGAAATAACTACTATCAAGAATCAGGTATGTATAATTCCAATTTGTGTTTTTGTACATTAATTACATGTATATATATTTTATTTGATCAATGCATAGTTATAGTTTGAATGTTTTTTTAGTTTGAAATTTATTTATTTTATATTTATGTGTATGAGTTTTTGCTTGTGTGTGTGTTTATATACCATGTGTATGGAGTTTCCACAGAGACCAAAAGAAGGTATATTGGATCCTCTGGAACTGGGGCTATATAGGATTGTGAGGCACCAAGTGGGTGAGAGAAACCAAACTCAGGTCCTCTGAAAGAGCAAAAAGTATTTTTCACTGCTGAGCCATCTCTCCAGATCCTGACATTTTTAAAATTTTATATTCAAATGTTCAGTAGCATAAACCTAAATTACTTAAAATGAGTAATAGTCTGAACAGACAGTTCCTTGTTGAAAGTATACAAATGCCATTTACATGAAAAAAAGCTGAACATCATGAATCATTGGTGAAATAGAAATCAAAATTAAAATAGCATACTATCTTACTTCACTAATAATGGCTATTATCCAAAAGACTAACAAAAGTACAAAAAAGTAACAAAAGTACTGCTCAGTATGTGGTGGGAAAGAGGAACCTTGCATACTGCTGGCTATAATGTAAATTACTCTAGGCATTATGTAAAACGGTATGGAGATTCTTCAAAACAGTAAATCGAGAAGTACCACATGATTTAGAAATCCCCCAGCAGTGTCTAGAACCTAAGGAAATGAAATCAATATGTCAAAGAGACAGCTGCACTCCCATGCTCATGCCAGCTCAACTCATAACAGCCACGACATGGAGACAACCCGTGTGTGCCACCTGATGAATGGGGCATAAGAATGCGGTGCATATACACAGTAGAATGCTAATCAGCACAAGCAGTCTGAAATTCTGTCATTTGCAGAAAGACGTATGGAAATGGAAATCCTTTTATGGCGTGAAATGACTCAAACAGAAAGACAAGTGCTGTGTGAAACCATGTGCTTGTGAAACCTAAAAAAGTTCATCTTATCAGAGTTGACAGTTGAATGCTGGCCATGGGAGGCTGGGAGAGTAAAGACGAGGAGTGGTGGAAATGTAACCAGTGCCTACTAATCCACATTTTGGCAGTGACAGGATGTGCTATCATGTCTGAGAGTGACTGTAGGCAACAATAGCACACTATACATTCCAAAGTGAAGAAGGAAGAATTCTGAAATTGCCGATCAGAAAAAATTCTGTAAGCTTGAGGAGACAGAAATGTGTGTTCTAGTAATATATTATGCATTCTATACACGTAACAAAACATACAACATGCGATGTTTATTTTCTTAAATGTAAGTTTAAATTTTTAAATACTGTATTTTTTTTATTAAAATATGAAGAAGTCAGGCAAAGTGACTTTCCTGTCAGTAAATATGGCAGACATTGCACCTACCGTTGTTTGCATTCCATTGGCAATGCTTTGGCACATCACTAAGATGGGGTTGGGAGTTGTCAACTTTGGCTGTGTGCTCTGTGTGCAGGAAGCAGGGAGGACAAAGAACAGACACTAGCATTATTTTACAAACTGGGGTCTGTTGAACTTTTGGGTTTCCTCTTCTGACAGCTGATTATATATTTTTCTTTTCTTTAGTTTGTCCTTTTTTCTGTTGATTTATAAAGATGAACTAATGAACACTTAGAGTCTTAGCTATCTGAAATTAAACATATACTCTAGATTTGTATATTTATACAATAAATTGGATTATTCAACATGTGCTAGTATACATGTCTAAACAAAGCTTTTTAAAGTAGTCTAAAGGAGGTTTATTTAAATCATATCGCATTTTTGTAAATTTAATTTCCCTTTATAAATACCTAATACTTATTCTGTTTTATTTCTTTTGGAAATATGAAACCCCATCTATTAATTTCATTAAAAATTAGACAGACCTTTATATTATTTTGATTTCTAAAAATTACTGGGGATGTGAGAAGTTCTTTAGGCTGATGTAAATTACTTAAAATTAAAACTTAGAGAAGAGTCTGCCTCTTAGATCCAACTGCGGCTCAAGGGGAATCCAAGCACTGATACGACCTTGTGGGAATTCTCTTGGTCATTGAGTTTCATTGTTTTCTCCCGTCCAGGTGGTATTATTTCTGACACCTAGTTAGAGATTGTTCTGCAGAGTGGAGTGAGCAAAGTAACCTGAAGAAAACACTTGATGATGCAAAGCTTATGTCATTGTTAAAAATTTGAAACGCAGATACTATTTTTAAAACTTCATACAGATGTCACTAGAAGTAGCTTAATCTTGCCTCCAGTTCCGTGGACATATTCAGCCCACTGCTTTCTGCAGATACTGTTCTCTCTGTTTCAAGTACTGCTCCTCCACAATCACTACCATCTGTGTGCATGAACACACACACGTGCACATAGACATGTGCGTGGGTGTGGTTGGACTACTTAGCATGTGCCCGACCACAGCTATGAGTCAAGGCTTTTCTGGGGCTTGTGTTTACTTGAGTTGCTCTATTCCTCACAGCAACCCAGGGTCTGGTCTGGCTTTCCAGCCCAAAGTCAAGCAGCTCTGAGAGAAGCTACCTAAGTTCAAGTTGTGCTTTGGAGTTTTCTGTCAGTCTTTCAGAACAGGACAGGTTGTTTTCACCTCTGTCAACACTGTATCTTTCTTCATCTCCTTCAACTAGGCATCCTGCCTGACCCACACAGTCAACATCTGACGCAATTAGTAGGGCTGTGCCCCCAGTGACCTCAGCTCTTCAGTACCTCACCAGAACATCTTAGGCCCTTAGGATCCTTAGGCTTGGCCAAGAAGAAAAGAAGACACAGGTGTGAAGAGGCAAGTGAAAGAACAGGCTAGGGTATGGTTTTAGCTTTATTAGAATTTTAACAATGTGTTGAAGAAATGAGTCTTTTGTTAAGAATACAGACATCATTATTTTACTCATACAAGGGAACCTTAACTTTTAAAAACAGCTTCTAGATGGTCACATTTTACTCTGCAGTTCAAACCCGAAGCTGATTGGAACGCAGCATCAGAAAGAGGAAAATGAGCTGAGGTGACGAATGTGGAAGAATCAGATGGATTCCAGGCTTGACCCTTCCTTCCCCTTTCTCAGGATGGAGTTAATATTAACTTAGTTAATAAGCAGATATGACTACTGTATGCCAGGATACTCTGGTTGCTGAGATGTGGCAGAACCCGAGACAAGTGAGATCCTGTTCTCCTGGAGCTTAAATGAAGATTCTAGAGAATACAATGATGTACAGAACAACTGACAAATAAAGAGGAGTATGGTAAACGTCATAAAAAATACGTACAGAGAGTGTCATGTAAGCCATTGTTGTCATTAAAGTTCCTTCAGAAAACAGCATAGGATAGCAATCAGCTGTCTACTGCCAAAATTCATGTTGAAATATTAATCCCAGCGTGACCGACCATATTAGTGGATGGATGCCTGAAGGGTCGTCAGATGATGGGGGTGGAGCCCTCATGGATGTGATTGGTGCCAGTTCTAAGAATGGCAACAGAAAGCACTGTAGCCTCTCACACTGTGTGCTAGCTCAGTGAGACTACACCCATCCATGAGAGGTCGGCTCTTCACCTGACACTGAATATCCCGATCTTGAATTCCCAGGCTTCAGAATAAACCTGAAGAGTAAATTCTCATAGTTTACAAGTTTATCTGGCATTATTTTGTGACAGCCCAGTTGAACTCAGACATAAGCTGAGATCTGAATAAGAAATGAGCCTTGTGAGGTAAGCTGCAAGTGTTCATCAAGCAAAAGGCTCTGAGAAGACTAAAGTGAACACAGGAAAGGGGCAGGTGACCTGGAGTATGGTGGATAAGAATACAGGACTGTAAAATAGATGAAGTCCCTAGAGCCAGATCATGCGAGATCATGCAGACCTCCATGGGACCAGGCAAAGAGCCTAGGTGATAAGTGCAAGGTTTTAGTTTAGAGAAGCGTCCACTTTGGGGAGTCTTTGGGACACTGGACAGCCATGGCTGCCAGAATCAGGCAACTACAAGATTTAGGAAGTCTGGGCAGGTTGGTTCCTGGACTGTTTGAAAGTAGAGAGCAGATAGAGAAGAGAAAGAATCCGATACAGAAACAGCATCCAACTGTGGAGAACCAGGCAGCAGATATGACTGACTCAGTGAAGGTTTCATTTGACGGACATAAAATTCTCTGACAGCGTGAAACAGGCCCAGAGTCCTGATGAAGAATGACGAGGGTTACTGTGGTTCCATAGAAACCTGAGTGCCTGGGACTCAGCTATGCCCCCAACATCCCATGCTGTAAACTTGGAGCAGCAAACCAGCTCCAGAACCCGCACACGCACACTTTCTCCAAGTTCTAGTTCCATGGGCAAATCCTCACTAGTGTGAGCCCCAGGCAGCAGGCATGCTGGAAGACAGGACAGCAACACAGTGCTGGGTCACACTAGGAATGACAACGCATCTGGGAAGAACCCTGCTTTTGATAGTGGAGGATCAAATAAAGAACTCTGTACCTTTGGGTCTGGATGCTATGAAGTCTTTAACATTTTCTGTAAATTAAAAGCAAGCCCTGAGGAGGGACTACACATAGAAATTCACTATAGACAGGACTTCATTGTGGATTCCACAGGCAGGTATGCCCTAAGTTAAGTAAAATATGAACTGAAGTTTTTATGCCAACAACATCTCAGAAAATCAGAATGTGCTCATGCTTCAGCAGCAGTGCCATGGATAATTACATTGTCTTTAGTTTTTGTTTTAAGTAAAACACTGCTATACAGCCCCAAAGCCCGCATGCTTCATCATAGACCACCCTGCCTCCTAAGTAAACGTGTGCTTAAATTTTTATTGATTGTAGGAAAATTGAGCCACAATTATGAGTTGAAATGAAGCATATTTCAGGGAGATGTTAGTAATACTACATAAAAATGTATATAGCTGCTGACTTGAAACCATATAGGTACATCATTGACTGGCCAGTATCTGCAGTATTCCCTATAGTCAGGTAA